CCGTAAATTAATATAGCCAATGGCAGAACAGTAAAATCCAGTGGTGTCCAAACGGGCCAAATAGTAAATAAATCGATCAAGGGCAGAATCGTAAATTCAGAGAGGAGAGAGGGCAGAAACGTAAAACCCAACGGGCCAAGGGCAAATCAGGAATTTTTCAATGCCGAGAAGGGCAAAACGATAAATTAAACGGACAGGGGGCAGAATCGTAATTTCAAACGGAGGTTCGCGGGTCTCACGGGCGTGTGCCACGCACGCGCCCCTTCCTCCGCGCGAGCGCGTGCCAGTCACGCGCCTAGGCCATGCATGGGCGCGTGGATCCCACGCGCCTGTCCCCGCGCATTGGCGAGTGGTGAGCACGCGCCTTAAGGTTTTTTTTTTTTTACGCGAACAACCGCACGACCCCGACTCCACCGTGCCTTCCTCCGCCCGATTCTCCTTCGGCAGCCCACCATAGACCAAAACAAATGGTGGGTTTTCGATATCATGTATTTTTATCCCAATTCATACCCTTATAGATAACTTCTCCCATCAAGATAGTTATCTTAATATTTGGCGATCATAGTTATCACATATTTAAATGCGTTCAAGAAACGTCAACAAAATTAATTAATGTGGGCAATAATAAACTAAATGTGGGATCGCATTATAAATAATATAATTATAACATCTTTTAGATAAGTGTTGCTAGATATTAGTTATTTGGGATGAAATTATCGACATGAATATTGACGTGCAATCGATGAGAGTAAATATGAACTATCTGAGGATGAAGTCATTGACATCAATATCAACGAGCAACCGATGAGAGCAAATATCAGTTATTTAGGGATGAAGTCATCGACATTGACATCGACATCGACTTCGATGAGTAACTGATGAGTAGCAATATATTCAGGCTCAAGTGTTGCTAGATAATAGGAGATTGTAAGCTTTAAATAGCCACATCGTCGATTAAATTCCGATGAAGTATATCTGTTCATGTGATTCATAGAGACTTACCTTTGGAATCGCCACAGAACCCGTCTCTTCTTAATAAGAACCGAAGAAAAGATGTTCGGTGAAAGACGTTTCGTCGGCTATACAATTTCGGCAAAACAAGACAAGACGGTGACATGTTACGAAAGAGACATCCCAATGTTTCTTGGCATGGACGCAAAACATAAGTTGAGGAAGTCAAATCGACGTCGAACCAACCATACAATATGAATATTGTTCCATGTGAGGACTCGAACCAAGTCCACGCTCGATTGCAGGCACTATTATATGTCCATGGTTCAGATTTTCAATCGTTCTCATTACCTAAACCCTTTGACGCATTTTCAAAACTTTGCCGTGGGTCAATGAACATGTCCCGTTTGCAAAACGAGAATCGGACACCATTAATTTAATGTCCATGCCGATGCAGGCGTTAACTGTTATTTGACAAGTAGAATATGCCTTTCGGACCAGTTTCTAGATTCCTTCACGCGGTGTAAACTCTCAAAGTTCTTCATTACCTAGTATCGTACGAAAGTGATAGTAATATCATCACAACGACAACAATCAATAATTTTATGAAAAAGCCCATCAAATATTTTAAATACGGCAAAATCCTGTTGTCCCGCTTTAAAAAATGCGGATCTGTTTTCGTGCCAGTAAATTTAAATAGATGTTGATAAGTGTCGAAAATTCGTTGGTTAAAAAAAAGGCCAAGTGACATTTTTCTTTCAGGTAAGTTATGAGTAACTTAACAGCACTTTTGTAAATTACCAAAATTCTTTGATAGCCTGTAAGTCACCAATATACGATACTACACGCATGATGTTCTTCCAAATTGTATGAACAGAACATCCATCCTACGAACGAAGGATTCAAACTTCCAATCTTTGATATGGTCTAGTACATGGCGTGTTTTGCTTTGCTTGCCAAAGAAGCATGCAGCATCCTTTTTTCAGCTGAGGAAATACAAAGAAGAAAACTGAAGTGTGAAATCAAATCTTAGTATTAAATCCACAAAATCAACCTTTTTCCGATCGATGAGGAGGGTCACATCGTCAAAGAGAATAGGTAAACAAATACATAGATAAGAACAGTTGTCTCCACAGGCCTGAGGATTTTTAAATTTCAACTGCTCCACATGATGACATCGAGATAGTGAAAGCAATGAAAATGCATAAGCTTGTTGACTTAAGTAGTAATTAGATAGACGACGGAGTCGCAAGGGTTTTCAACAACTCCCCCACAAATCACTGCATTTTCTGCTCTTCAGAATCACAGTTAGACAAACAAAGAAGCTTCTCAGAGGGCTTTAGAAAAGTTCCATGCAGGCATATTGAACAAATTGACTCGAATTGATGTGTAGAAAATATGTACGAAACTCAAAGACCTGTCGTCACGGCATACGCGCACAATGAACAGAATCAAAATCACAATACAATATTCATGTGCGGTTAGGAGGCAATGCTGTTGAAGTCAAATGCGCCCACCGCCTATAAATGACATTGATAAAATGTTTTCGTCATACCAGACGTTTTTGTAATGGCATATAGTGGATGAAAAGAGATGATTTCAAATCGTCGGTAGTTTATGGATGGATGCAAGCTGATGAACAAACGGTACTTTACTAAAGGTCAAACACTTCTTCTATCTGGCAGTACGAGTACTGCAAGGAACACTCCATGTCGGTACAAGGGGGAATTGATCTTTCCCTTTTCCCGTCCTTATCTCACTTCTGCATCTCATTTATCCTTATAATTAGTTATTCGTATAAACAAGTGTCGTCGTTCAAATTGGTAATTGGACATATTAATGGTTGAGATTTGGTGAGATATCATGGAGACATCTTGCGAGGTGGAGGGTTTTCGTCCGAGGAACTTGAGAAGTGATTTTTTTTTTCTAGCACATAGTGCACTAATCACAAATAAGTTTTCATAATATCACGTAGGGGTGAGCGGTTTTCGAGATTGGGCCGGTACAACCCTGGAACCTTGAATCTACTTGCACAACAGATTTTGGAACCCGGAACCAATCCTGCGGATCCGTTTAGTTCTAGTTCTAGGATCGGTCCAAGGAATCGGCTAATTCTTTTTCTTTTTCTTTTTCTTTTTCATTTTTCTGTATTTCTTGAAACGACAAACTTATTCTTTTAAAGTAAATATTCATCAACACAGAATATTTAGAATTTCAAAATTGAGCAACAAAACAACGAGAAGTAAAACCCGCATAAAATACAACTAGAATTCTAAAGCAACAGGGAATAATCTAACTCATCTCTTAGTTAAGCAAAACGAAAGTTAAAGCAACAGCAAAAATCTCCGCTTTCGAAAAGCAATGATCATAAAAGATGAAAACGTAAAATAAAATAAACAATAAAAAATTTAAGGGTTAATATCACGAAAAACCCTAAACTGATACTCACATCACAAATTTCCTCAAAACTAATTTTTATCATAAAAAAACGCCCAAACTGATACACCTGTGATAAATCTACCCTCCGTTAATTTCCATTAAATTTTACTGTCAAATTTGCTGAATTAAATGACACGTGACAGTTGACGGATGTACCGGTTTGAGAATTAACTCTACATTTGTCGCATAGTGCCAGTTCTCAATTTTTGGGACTGAGGACCAGACTGTTTCTTGTGAGAACCAAATCGAACGGACAGCATAGTGTCGTTCCAGTCCGGTTTCAGGATCTACCCAAGACCGGTGCTCACCCCTAATACCATAGCATGCTAATTGTTTGTTTACGAAGGTGTATATAATGTGGCAAGCGCACATGTACGCACATACGTGAGGGATCGGTTTTTAAAGTAACATAAATACATAAATGAAATAGTCACCACCTAAAAGGTCTACCATATGATACAGAAGTATATATAGACAGAACCAACCTTGAAGGAAACCTTCGAAAAAAATTATATAATTACAACTTGAAACAACTCTTCAAGCAAATGGAAATTTCAAGACATGAACCTTTCAACTTTCCAAGACAAGAACTATCTATACTTAGATAAAACATAAATACTAACATTTACTCTTGACTTTAGAAGCAAACAATGATCCATACGACTCGTTAAACACAAAGAATGACTAAAAAATCAGACCTCGATCTTCTTACGGTCATTTAGTACTTTGTGCATAACCTTCTCTAGAAATCTTTGAATTGCATAAAATCTGATGCGTTCGAGACTAGACACATGGAGCTATCCAACCATGTATGTTATTTAACCATATTGAAGCACGCTAAGCCTCTTAAAAATCTAAAGAAATCTTGACCCTTAATATTGTGCGAGTAGAGATGAACATTTTCAGCTAACAAATTTAGCACTGATTATTTCGATAACAATTGAACCTCTTCAGATGATCCCTCACCAATGTTGACCATTATTACCTAGCAATTTATTTCATGGAAAAGATTAGGCCTTGCACATGAAAAGAAGATGCTCAAATTGAGGGTTAATAACACAAAATTGAGGTTAATAACACAAATTAGAGTAATTGTCAATATGTGAACTTTGTTTATCTATACTTAATCTATATTTGGCATTTACTTCTAGAAAGTGAAGTTATAAAAGAATGGGTATACGGCTGTTGCGTTTAAAGTAATTTGAGTGACCAAAAGCTGTACATTGACTCGGGGTTAGAAGTGATTTCGATTTCTTAATCCCACGAATAATTAAATTCTATTCATGTGCAGACAACGAGACATTATCAGCGATGTCTCTCGTTTATGAATGCCTACTTTTCGACAAAAATATCAAATCTACCCGCGGAGACCCTTGACAAATTATCCAACGACTCCATTTAAAGAAAATTATCACATCCTTTGGCAGTGTAAACATCAGTTTTCAAAGAAAGCCGCGTTTCTCCCACTTTATCAAAGATTCGTCCCATATCTTCATCTCTTAATTGTTTCATCTTTTTCCTCTTTCTGAAACGTGAAATTGCCATGCGCTTTCATGAGTCTTCGCTTTAGGTCACCTGCTGAACCGCCTCTTTATATAATCCTCCTCATATCGAGTCATTCCTTCATCAGACACACAACAGTTCGTTAGTAGCGTGCAGAAAAAATGGCCTCGTCTTCTTCTTTTTCGAAGGCAATTTTGGCTTTGGCTTGTGTTGCGCTCCTTGTTGGTGGCACGAGTGCCCAACTTTCCATTTACTACTACGCCGAAACTTGCCCCCTACTCTGCCCGACAGTAAAGTCAATTGTGCAGGAAGCAATTGCCGCAGAGGCCCGCATGGGCGCCTCGCTCACCCGCTTGTTCTTCCACGATTGCTTCGTCAATGTAACTTCTCTTTCTCATCCACTTTAACTTCTCAACATTCTTTGCCGACAGTTAAAACCAATTCATTCATGTTTCTTTCACCATTTGTATTTGTGCCCTACGAGTTTTGTGGTCCATTCATTCGTCAACAAAACCCCAACAACATGTTCTCGAGGTGTTATTTTTTGCATCGGTCAAGCCTAGACAACACTCTCTCTTTTTCTTCGTCGTCTAGTGATTGATTAATCTTTCTTTTCGTCATCCTTAGCGGAGTTCAAAATAGTTAGAGAAAAGAATCAATAAAACAAAAGTAGGGTGTCGGTTTGTCTTGTCAAGTGTCCTATGCAAATACGTAAAAAGAAACACTTAACCTAGTATGTCATTTGTAAGGAACGTATCCCGTGCATAAACAAAAGAAAGCACTTTGACCTGGTAAGCCATCATGACGTAAGATGCTGCACTGAAGTCAAGTTCATATTTGCTAAATTTAAAAGCATATTTTTATTGGCTGGGATTGTAATATGGTCATTTGAAAAAGTGGTCGATGCTCATAGCTAAGAAAGAGTTTGGCTCATTGAATAACAAATCAAAGTCATTGCCCTATTGATATTCATAATTTATTTATCAGGGTTGCGACGGATCAAACCTCTTGGACGACACACCTACTTTCACTGGAGAGAAAAACGCGGCCCCAAACCAAAATTCCTTGCGAGGGTTCGATGTGGTGGACAGGATTAAGTCCGCGGTGGAGGAAGTGTGCCCCGGCGTCGTCTCATGTGCTGATTTGTTGGCTATTATCGCCCGGGACGCCGTTGAGATAGTAAGTCATCGGAACTCGACTAGCTATGGAACAGTAGAGACGAAAGCTTCTGATTATTTTGCATGACTAATAACTTGTTGCGAATGAATTGGGCAGCTGGGAGGGCCAGGGTGGGATGTGAAGCTGGGGAGGAGAGATGCGAGAACTGCGAGCCAGGCAGCAGCTAACAACAGCATTCCTCCTCCAACTTCTAACCTCAACGCTCTCATTTCCAGCTTCCAGAATCACGGCCTTTCTCAAACGGACCTCGTCGCTCTATACGGTAAATTCTCTCTCTCTCTCTTTCTCTCTCTCTCCACCATATGATATGTATAGAGCTTGCATCCATTAGATCGAGTCAATCACATATCAAGAATCTATAAGATCCTTACTGGATCCTCCTAACGAACCTAACATTTCATGCAATTTCTGCACTTTAATTGGGTTTGTCCGCCTTATCACCCATAGACTGAGTCTATATAGTATTCTTAATATTTTTATAATATTCAAATTACTCAAATTAATACTTATGTGTATGTCCTCCTACTTTTAATTACTCAGGAGCGCACACAATTGGGCAAGCGAGATGCACGAACTTTCGGGCCAGAATCTACAACGAGAGCAACATCGACAACTCATTTGCCCAAACAATGAAGAGCAATTGCCCAAGCGTCACCGGCGTCGGCGACAACAACTTGGACGGGCTCGACTTCCAGGATGCGACAGTGTTCGACAACTCCTATTTCGTCAACCTCATGAAGAAAAAAGGCCTCCTCCACTCTGACCAACAGCTCTTCAACGGCGGGTCCACCGACTCGCTCGTCAGGACTTACGCCCAAAGCCAAGACACCTTCTACAAGGACTTTGTGGCCGCCATGATCAATATGGGCGACATCATGCCCCTCACCGGATCCAACGGCGAGATCAGGAAGAACTGTAGGAGGATTAATTAATTATTGATGAATTTAGGGTCTATGTATACTCCTTGATATGGGGTTTCGGTAATAAAATTCAATCTGATCGAGCTGTATTTTGCGGGTGTTTGTTTGCATTTGAAGCTTTTGTTGTCGTGTCAGCATTAAGAAAAAGTTGTAAGAGTCAAATATTGTAATAACAGTCTTGTCGAGATTTTGTCAACTGTTATAGATATCTTTGTTAGGAAATGCATCCCGATGTTTACAAATAGACACTATTCCTTAACAGGCTGCACTATCAATATGAACTTGTCTATCATCTTGTGGGCATCTAGCAGGTACATCGACAAGAGGGAGATCAAAGAAGTCGACGGTTGTGAGTAAATCGAAACCAAAGCCTTGGAAATTTCTCCTCTGGAGAAAAGACCTGTGTGAAAGACATTCAATTAGAGTGGTACACAAAATCAAATCACAAAGGCAAGAAATTACACCTGGCTTTGTTGCAGCTACAACATATAGCATTAATTATGCACTAATCGAGTTAATACATTCTGCTCAAAGAAGAGGAGGGAAAGAAAGCAAAAAGAAAACAATTTCCTCTAGATTTGATGTTCTTTCTTTGAAGAATACGACAGATTCCGGATGTACCGGGATTACTCTATTGCTTACTATTGACAATTGAATTTCTCCGACAAATTCATTATACATTTTAAAATAAAGCCATCCTAGGAATTGGATTCGCCGATAATATCGAAATTCAACTTCTAATCGAAGATCCCGTTGTTCCGTCATTCTGCATTTATTTGGTCCGCCAAGTTTCTTCTGGACATCTGAACTAGGGACATTGCAGTTTGAAGACCTCGGGCCCGGCCACCGAAATTTTGACCGATGGAGACCAGAGGCCAGTCAATGCCGACCGATCGTTTTGATTTTGTTTGATTTTGTCAACCTTTCATGAAGTCCATAGCTTAATTAATAGAGTTTTTATTTTTGGTCGAAAATTAGTAGAGTTGACCACTTCCAAACCTTGGCAAAACATGTAAATATCCGATCGATTCTTGTATGAACGATACATTGATTCCTGCCTTTATGGCAGGAGCCTAATATTTTTCACTTACATTTTCTGTACCAGAACCAACATGCGCTACGTGTGTAGCGTGCTTTTCGTAAATGAAGAGTTTTTTTAAGGAGAAAGTCACCCAAAAACCCTCAAACTATACCCACTACGACACATTTACCTTAAAAAAAAATTTATGACATAAAAAATCCCAAACTATACCCACTCCGTTAAAGTTCCATCAATGAGGATCGTTAAAAATCTGCCTACATTGATGTCAGAAAGAAATGTAGTTTAGGGTTTTTAGTAAATTTTGCCCTATATTTTACGATTTCACAACTTTAGCCTTTGAAAAAGTTTTTTGACAAGAAAAATATATTAAAGTGGAGAACAAAAGGGAGATATATCCTTTAAATAAATAAAAAAAGGTAAATTTGAAAAGCCAAAAGCCAGACCTCACTTTCGGCTTAAATATATCCTTATTTATAAAATGCTACATAAATTCCTTAATTACAAATATATACACGAAACGTGCCACAACCGTTTAGAAATAATTATTTTATGGGAAAATGACACCACAAGGGATCATGACTTTTGTACTTTGCTTATTTCAGTGCCAAAATTTTTCGAGCGATCACTTAAGTGCCACATTAGTTAAAAATCAATCATTGAAGCACCTATTTTGGCGATTCATCCTACATGATTTTTTAAATTAAATTTTGATTCTGACATAGCTTTTCTAAAGGAAATTCAAGTCCGACATGAATAATCCTTGATTAACAAGGCACAATCCGCCAAAATAATTTGAAATTGAAACCCTAATTTTAGAAAGGGAATTTATCTCGGCGAGTGCAACCGCCTCTGCAACCATAGCTGCTTCCTCCATCTTTATGGCCGATGTTAATCTCATCTCAACAGTCTTCGTGCTAAGAGTGATCGGTTCCAAGGTGGATGGTTCCCATCCTGGAACCGGGAACCTCTTACTAAGGGTCAATTCCACAAAATGTGAATCGGGAACTGCCTATTAGTTCCTAGATTCACCCGAGAACCGAATCACGGATCTGGTTCAGTTCTTGGGTGGGTCCATGAAACCGGTCAAGGTTGATAGAAAGATGATTAAGAGGATTGTTGGCAAGAAAGTCAAAATAGTAAGGAGAAGTGAAGGTAGGATCTCGCGCACCATTTCAGTAAAGTAACACGGTGACACCATTGAGAATCGGACCAAAGTAGCATTCATCTGCTAGATCGACGAAACAGCTCTTGATACTCTAAAATTTCTAGCCTCATTCACCTCGGTGTATTGCTTAAGCTTGTAATTCCCATATGGAAGTAATAAGGACAAAGAACCGACCAAGAACTCTCGGAAGGTTTCTCCTTGGGAAGTTTATGCCTATGACCACCTTCCAATGGCTTCAACGCAAAAGGAACCAATAACATTGAAAACACCAGAGATATAAAGTCGCAAAGCAAAAGCCAAAGCAAAAATAAAATGACATTGTAGTTAAAAATCAGCGTACCAAAAACATCAACATCTTCCTTCTCACTATTCAAAAGAGCCGTCTGCGGGGACGCCTTATTCAACGACTTTTTCATTGCTTTCTTGGCCTTCGCCCCTAGTCCGGAGCCTAGGGTTTGAAGATTTGCCCCAATTCATTAATTTGGCAAACATGTGGAAAACGATGTCGTTTTACACTCACTTGCTTCATTTTACTGGCGAGTAATGTCGGACGTTATATAGTCGGAATTCTTGGCGAGACAAATTGCCAGCACTCAAGTAAACGATGTTTAACAAATATGACACCATTTAAGTAATCGCACAAAAATTTTTGGCAATGAACTGAGCGCCGTACGAAAGTTATAACATTTATAGTATCATTCTCCCATTATTTTTTCACTAACAATGGACAAAGAAGTTTCAATATAGTTCTGTTTGTTTGCCTCACATGGAACAAAAAATGGCCCGGCTAGGTATTGACCAAGCCAGGCCATGAAAATTTGAAAAACTCTTTCGGAAGAAGAGGTATTCTTGTTTTTTGATATTTTTATTCAAGATATCTTTTTAAAACCTTTTTTTATCTAAATGGGATTGCTTATAAAAGTGGGGGAATTGTCCAATTGGTTCCAAACTTATTGTAAGGATATCAATTCATTCATTTTCTAATTTTGCCAATTTAATTGTAAATCTTTGCGCGAAGTTCCAACATAATCTTTCCGGTCAATTTCATTGGAAATCGCTAATGTGGTAGTGTGCCACTTAGGACGGCCCGCGATGACTGGACCACCACGTTGGCTATTTTTGACGAAAATTGACCAAAAGGACTATGTTGGAATTTTGCACAATGGATTAGGACTATGGCAAAATTGAAAATTTTAGAATTGAATTGTCATCCGTATTATTTGTAAGATCATTATTTAAAACCTCAACATTTTTAATTTTCGTTCCAATCCTCAATGCATTTCTTTTGCATATGATAACATTCAATAGAAGAAAACGACGGTTTGGAAGGTTCTTCTCCGCCGAAAATTCTGTATTATTTGTTCACCTAACGAAAAATATTTTATTAGCTTAGTTGAAACTGGAGCAATGCTATGTCTTTCATAAGACTATCATTGGTCAACAATTAAAGGAAGATCAAGGCGGACCCCAACTTGTGATCTCATGTCTGCCTCGAGTAATTGATTTCTGAATAATCTTTTTAATGGGAGCTGCTAAGGCACATGCGTTGATTTGGGTCTAGATCATCCAAAAATAATTGAACTTATTGAGTCTCACAATGGTTGTCGGTAGAGCTGTCGAATGGGTGGGTCAGGTTGGATTTGAGTTGGGTCGAAAATCGCCCGACACAAACTTTGTGACTCATACTCGACCCAACCCGACCCATTTACTAAATTACTTCTATGTATAATCCAACCTATGAAAATATGTATCTACTTATTTAACCCATTTTGAGCTTTTCGTGTGTATATGTTATTTGGATAAAATCACTCTTTCAACTATAAGATGCTAAAAAATTGATTTTCAACATTGCTTGGAATTTTCAATTTGTGTGTTGATTCACAATAAAGAATAAGAGAAAAATAGTATTTAGTAGTGAATTTATAAAATTACAGCATCAAATGACGTGGAGGAATTGAAATTTTAATTTAATAGAATATAAGATATTGAAGAAGATGATTTATACTGACAATAGGTTGCAATGACAAGAACTAACATTAGAATATTACATAAAAATAATAATGCCAAATGCAACCAAGGAAACATCTACTCCAATAATTAACAAACGAAACTTATAAGATTAATAAAAAAAATAATGGGCAAAAAAATAAAGTCGTCATGATATTTTTCATAAGGGTGAAGACTCTATCCTGCGGGCTCATTCATGACCCATTTTGACAGGTTTAATGATGTGTTATGTAATTTTTGTAACGCACAAATCGAATAATATCGTAGCATGCTAGTTGGCAAGTTTGATTATCAATTACCCCTGGTGTCCCGTATCAACAACCCCATACCTAATAAAGGTATGTTACTATGCCGAAGGACGTCACCAATAAGACCCTAACTAACCATCTTGGGATAAGATTATTTGTTCCACTTACCATCAAATTGTTTATAGCAAAGAACATGTAATGTATGCGGACGAGTCTCTCTTATGTCGTAGAAAATGAGATGGTACCGCGACTCACTTGTTTGGGCTAAAAACCAAGAGTAAAGTAAGGAAGATGGAGACATATTACGAAAGAGACATCCCAATGTTCCTTGACATGGACGCAAAACATAAATTGAGGAAGTCAAATTGATCTTGAACCGACCATACAAATCGGACATTGTTTCACATGTGAGTGAGGACTCGAACCAAGTCAACAATCGATTACAGGCACGATCCCATGTCCATGTTTAGATGTTCAATCGTTCACACCACCTAAACATTTTGACGCATTTCTAAATTAATGTCCATGCAGGCCGCCCCCTTCCAGTCTTAACAATAAAAAAAAAGTAAAAAAGGAAAAAAGAAACAGAAAGAAAAGACAAAGAAATTAAAAATCAAAAAAATTAAAATATTACTAAAACTTGGTCACGTCAACGCCAGCCGTGCCACGAAAGGCCAGTGTCCATGTTTATGAAATTACCAAATCTTTTTTATAGGTCGCAAATTACCAATTTT